ATGTCGAAACAAAGGCCAACCGGACGTCTTTTGAGTAATTTGATGTCACATATGTGCAAATTTTTTCACTGTAATTTTACTGAATCGCTACATTTTCCGTTTATATTTCCTGGATCTCGAACACGCCGCGTGAACCATTCCTTCCGTAAAAGTTTCATTTTTTTTTCAGCTCGCCAAACGAATTTTGTGAAATTGTGTCTATTTCCGGTTCTATCCTACTTGTGACGTCCAGCTGTATTGAATCATACCACTGATATGAACGTACGTGTGCACAATTTTAGTGTCTGATCTCTTGCAGAATGTCGATACCCATCAGGGTAATAAAATTACTGGTCTAGTAGTGTATAAATACGCGATAGAAACTTATTGTTAGTATGATAAATGCATGACTTTTTTTATTATCTTTTATTTTCAACATATACTCTCTTTAGAATTATATTTTTATATATGTAGTTCACAAATAACGAATACATATTGTAATGTTACTATGTCGAACAATCTATTTATATAGCGATTAAATACCGTTTATATAATAACTATACACGTATAAATAGCTAAAAAATACATCAATATATTTTTCATATTAATCGAAATCAAATCGTTTCAATTGCTTTTGAGTTTTACTATAAGGGTGATTTAAATTCATATTATTTTAGACAATTTTATTAAATTTTTTGACAACCAGGCACTTATGTTAATATGTGTAAATACATTCTTTGACATATCAGTCTACAAATAAAATAATTATAATCAAGTCACGGCGTTTTCTAACAGCTTATATCTTTATTAATCAAATATTGAGATTACTTTTCTGTAAAGTCAAATAAAAATAATAGCGTTTTGTGTAAACATGGGAAACTGTAAAGTGGATTTTATCATACTATTCATGTTTTTCAAGTTGCTTTCAATCAGAGGAGATTTTTCCAAATTTTTTTTTATAGGAGAGAGTGTTGACAGTATGTAATAAAATATATTGATTGAATTTTATGTTGTGGCCAGATTTATATAGATATCAAAAAAAGGTTTACGGGAAAATATAAAATGCGCAAGAATTAATTTTTGTCATACATATATGCAAACGTAAACATTTGTAAAACTACGTAATAGAAAAAACAGCGCAGTGCAACACAGCATAAAACTCAATGCATATTATATAACACACAAAAATATTTGTCAATCATATTATTTATCTGTAACTGTGACAGAATTTACCTAAGATAATCTTATTACAAAAAAATAATAAAAAACAAAATGTTTTTCCTTGGCAAAGCAAAAATATTTCTTTGCAAAGTAGATAGCAATTAATAGATAGTTAATATAGTAATTAATTAATAGATTAATAGGATGGCTCCTCAAAAATCGTATGGCATTAACATGCCTTATTATTAAAAAACTGAACGTATCATGAAATTGTAGCGTGCAATAATAATAGAGCAATAAGAGTAATCTAAATGTATTAATATATTCGTTTATCTAAAAAATTTAACAAATATGCTATCGATTTATCAATAATCAATTTTTGATGGATAATATCTATTTTTGGCTTTTTATAGCTATTTAAGTTTTAAACTTACAACTGCAATATTTCTCATGCATTTCTCGTCATCTGTCTCACTTCGTTATTAACGAATATAGCACTTCATTGCACGGTCGTCCCTTTTCATGCGCGTTAGGTGGCACACTGCAATTTGCGGTGACGGATATAGGAACACCTGCGATGAAATCAGCGCGCGATTCTGCGTCTGGCTAAGGGAGTAAGCACGAATAACCGGGATTTCCCATAAAATCGTGCGATTCATTTTATTCGCTTCATCCGCCAATTTTCGAAGATGCACGATGTTCGATACGCCGTGCGCTACCGTTATATGGATGGATTTTATTCTCACCGACAAATCGATGATACGTAGCCTACTTGTTCGTGCTTAGAATATATCATGTCGATAAGTCCACCGACGCGACGCGTATGTCGGCGTTCAAAGTTTCGCCAAAAATGTCGAGCGAAATTCCGCGTCTCGATTAAAGGGGAGCTTCCACGATCACAGATACGTGGTACTAAGGTACTGTATAAAACGGCGTTACGAAAAATCGCTTACTTTAATCCGATATGAATACATATCCGCCATGGTTCATCTTGAATTGCTTAATACCGCATATTCAGAGAAAAATAAAAAAGGTCTTGATAACTTTAAAGTCGATTTCCGATAATTACGAGGATCGTTCCGAAATATTTTCTGGCACGCGATTGTGCGAAGAGGGAGTCAGGCATATAAACTATCTTATCCCGCAAGTAATCACATTATCGATGTCGCGAATGAAAAGACGGCTCCCATTATCGCTAACGGTTGACGGTAACTTGCTCAAATTAACATTCTCTAGCTGTCACGGCATTAATTGCAAAAGTTTTCCCGCGAGATGAAAGTGATAAAGTGCCGATTAAAGCCAGGACTGTGTAGAAAGTTGAGAAGAGCGGAACAGACGGTAGGCAAAACTTGTCGTGTATTGTGGAAATATTCCTGCTATATAATAAAATAAATCTCAAGTCGACAAATTTAACTGATAATTTATCTGTATTCTACGTTGAAAACAAAAACAATATGTATGCATTTAGAAACGTGATGTTTCATTAAATTGTTTTTGTCAAATTGGGCAAGATATTTTTATGAAAAAATCGTGTAATATATTTCGAACAAAAACCGATCATAACAATAGATGTAAATTTATATTACAGAATCACTTGTCGTACTAGCTTTAGATATAAGTTTTTATGCTATCATGATATACACTCACGCAATAGAATATGCCAGCAAAAGTTAAAGCATTCTGGAAGTCAATGTTCTAAGCCTCCAGGGTCAATTTTAATCTGCATTTCGAACTGTATCGTCATACCACGATACCGGAAGTTCCCAAGTGGCAAAATCTGTGAACACCGTACACCCTCTCAGATCTGCCCCAATTTACGATAACCGCAGTGGCTTTAATGTGAAAGCTACCGGTTGCCAACGAAAATTTGGATCGTGGCAATGACAGGGCAATTACGAGACCAATTTAGACCACAGCATATCAAATGAAATGCGCTTCTCCCTTTGATATAGAATACGATCATAGTTCGAAACAATCTTAGATCGTGTATACATACTAAGATAAATAGCTAAATGCTTTTGCTACGAGTTAACATTGCGAACTTAGATATATATATATATATATGTATATAATTATATTGTTTAAGAGGATGCCGGACCGTCCTGTTTTACCGGCCATAATAATTATATATTTGCTTAATATAAGGGTTTTGCGGTGTGTACGTGCAAAATAGGATACCTCTCCACTCGGAAATGCATGAAGGAATATAAGTAAACGTTTGAAAATGTATTTGAAAGCCTTGTGTGTATATACGTAATCCTTTTAATACGAAAATGCTTTGAGGAGCTGCAACTCTGTAAAAATATAAAACAGCATATTTTAAAGCTAAACAATAATGTTAATATAAATAAATGATTTTATCTTTATCTTTACGACGACAAAACTAGATAAAAAATGTCACAGTCTTACACGGTCAATGGAATTTATAAGAAAAACTATCGAACAAATACTGTGAGTCAAAAATTATGACACGAGCAATTTTTTTGTTAATATCGCGGAAATTTTTCCCTTTTAATGGCAAGTCACTTAAAAAAAGAAAGTAAGTAGATCACGGATCTGCTCTAATATATTTTTCACATGTTTATATTTCTTAAATGTTGAGAAAAGCGGATGAATGGCTTATCTCGCTTTGCAAATCCCAGTTTCCATTTGGCTTCTGTCGGTTATAACGTGCTTTGCAAAATTCATTGACAGCAACAAAGCAAGGAAATTAAAATCGTAAAATGTGAAAAGCTTCAGTATTATAATATAATCGTTACCTCCCCAAGTATCGCCTTTTCGAATATACATCTGTAATATTTGTTTGATTATAAAAAACTGAATAGTGTATCCTGTTTATTATTACCGGTTTGTTAGTGTTCAAAAATGACGTTGAATTAATCATCTAATTTTTTGATCGCTAATAGTTTATTATTGTAATGATAATAATCATATATTTTAAAATTATCTTTGTAAATTATTATAAAACTAAACACAATTAAACAATTACAATCTGTTCCGTGCAACTATTAAAATAAATTAAGTATAAAATATAGATTGATATTCTTGAGTATTAATCGTAAAGTATTTATTAAATATTTTGCCATAAAAGTTATAGCCGTATTAAAAGTAATTAAGTAAAAGTATTTAAGATGTTAAGATCCTTTGGCTACTTCCAATAAATTTCAAATATTTGTCAAAACGTTGCAATAATGTTATATATCTATTATTCTTGAATTTGTATGCAACCTATTTTATCATAGTCAAAAAGATATTTAATTTATTTAACAGAAAATTTTGTTCTTGTGTTTCTCTTTGTGTAACATATTGCATGATTTTTTCATTTTCAAAGACTATACTTTGCGCATTTCAAATACTAAAAAGGATATCATTAATCAACCCATTGAATCCACTGCTGTGGACATAGACCTCTCGTAAATTCTACCACTCCATATTGTTTCACACTGTCTGCATGCAGTTTATTTGAATGTGTTTTAAATCATTTGTTTACTTTGTTAGAAATCGTTCCATACTTCTGACAGCTTTGAGCTTCATTCTAATAATATCCTAGTCCATCTTCCATTAGTCATTCTGGCAATGCAATCGGTCAATTTCAAGGTAGCAATCTTTTTGACCGCGTCCTGAATCTATTCTTTATCTTACGGTTTTATTTGGTATTCTATCTTTAAGAAATAAATCCAAGTATCGCCTTCTTCATTGCTCGCAACTAATTTGTATGTTGATGAATAATTTTCATTATTAATGTTTCTACGCTATAGATTAAAACGGGGAGCGCACATTGATTATGTATTTTCTGCTTGAGATACATATCTGATTTAAAAATTAAAAAGAGTATAAAAAGCATTTTTTTATTCAAGTACTTTTATGTGGAATTGCTACGCCCACGAGAATTTTTTATACAGCAATTGTTCTTTATAATTCAACATGCACTTAGTAAACGACTGCAGACTCATGTGATTGCGACATATTCGCAGAGATCTCAACCGACAAATCGTCATGGTTGTATAAAAGCACCCTCGAGCTAGATAATTTACCCTGAGAATATAATACGATTGTTGCTTGTTTACAGCACTCCGTCCAAGAGAGCGAAACAAAGATGAGATATGAGACATCGCAAGCATCTTTAAGTACAGAAAACGATCCAACTTGCTGCTATTTAATTAAATTTAGCACTATTATCATTAAAGCTAATTCCTAAGTTTCTTGAGCTTCTGCAACTTACATGTTGAATGCATTATATTGTACGTATACACATAGTTTTTGCCTATATCAATGTTTAACAACGACAACAAAGATGCAAAAATTTATATATTTAAAAGAATAATGATTTTTTTTTTTAATTTTAAGACTAAAAGCATAAAAACACCAAAGGCAATAATATATAATCTGAAAAATGATATTAAATTAGAGCTTCGAGAAAAATTAGTTATTAAAATATATTAAAAATATAAAATATCTCCTTAAGAACGTAAATTATAGGTATAATTTACGTAATATATAATTTGATCCTATATATTCAGATGCTGTATTTAATTATGCAAATTAACTTGAAATCGTAAAAAGTACAATTTTTATAGCCTATATAAGGTACATAAAGAATTCCAGCAGTGTAATTTCCCAGATGACGTTTTGCCTTATTTATGGTCATCCATCAGCTAAAATGATAAGAGAAAAACAATAGAAAGCATAGCATAAACAGTTAAGGATCGGCATGATTTTTTCATTTTCGCTCCAAAGGCGAAGTTAATTTTGGCTCCTGGTTGGAATTAATGGCGAGACGTGGAAGCTGTTTCTGGTAGATAAGAAGACCGCTAGGATAGAGATAAATAGTATCATGGCAACGCCTCTGCTCGGTGGTGATTCAGATGTCTTAAGACAAGAAAAAAATAGAAGGAAAAATTATAAAAAACTGTGGGAAGATTTTACTGTGGTCGTAAAATTCTAACGCTATTTTATTTTCCTACAACGAAGAGGCGGGTGGTAGTAAACAAACTTAATGCTGTTAAATAATTAAATAAATAATTAAATTTGCGAATATATGCAAATATTGAAATACTTCTAATATATAAATATAATAAAATGTTAAATATTTCTTGGAACAATAACGAATTAATTGTTATACGGTATTTTCGCTGTGTATATTATTTATTGTTGAGACATGCACTTAACTTGTGGTCATTCGTGAAGCGAATTTGTTGGAAACTTCGCGATATATCGTCGGATTATTCTTCGAGAAATGCAATCATTTCCTATGTGTATTTTAATAAGCAATTAAAAACTCGATAAGCGTATCAAAGCAATCATATTAATCGTGTTTCCACGACTAATTTGTTGTTAATTGTGAATACAATGAAAGACGATAGAGGCTAAATAGAAAGAAGACCCCGATAGATATCTCGGGCGACAACGAACAACTTTGAGATGAGCAATTGTTATAATTAATTTAATTTATTATTTATTATTTATAAAAAATTTATTGTTTGTTTTTATCTCCGCGATAACAATCTATTTAACGTTATTATACTTATAATATGCAATATTTGTATACATATATAGATATAAATAAAATATTTTGGAACAGTATGTTTTTAGAATATTTAAACAATTAATTTAAAAAAATACATTACATAAATTTGCAAAAGGTTAAAATCAGCATTTGCCACAAATTGCTACAATGTGTAATATTGTTACATATTATTTTATTTAATTACATAAATACACATGTCAAAGAATTTTCATCCTATCATATTTTTTTCTGTGATGTCATATCTGGAACATTGCGTATAGATATTACTATAACAGTTTATGCATTTATTTACATTAGATTTTTATAAGCAAATTTAACAGTTTATTCTCTCTCTCTTTTTCTTTCTTTCTCTTTCTCTCTCTCTCTCTCTCTTTCACTCTCCCTCTTTCTCTCTAAGTATAACTGTAAACTTCAACCACACACACGGAAACTCTCGACTCTAGTGTCTAACTTTTGGAATATTTGAATATTTCATGTGTCTTCTACAGAAATGATAAATCGATATGCTGAAAAGTTTTGTAGAAGTTCTACTATTAGCAATATGTCACCAAAAATGTCACATTAGTAGCATTATGCATTCGTAGAACATTAAAAAATGAAAACATTTAATATAATCATATATTCTAAATGCAGAAAAATAATACGATATACTAATATGTATTCATATTATATATCATCAAGTATTAAAAATTTTTTTTTGATTAATTTGTTGGTTTTATCTAAATGTACTTAATACATTAAAAAAGAGAAAGAGAGAGAGAGAGAGAGAGAGAGAGAAAGATGTGTCCTATTCTATAAAATATAATGTAAGAAAAAAATACTATATTAATTTCCCGACTGCTAAATTTTTTTATTTTTAAGTGTAATATTAATCCACAAAAATAATTTTTATATTAAATAAATTAGTATATGCAAATTTGAGAAATTAATACACACGATCATTGATTTTTATAATGTAATTTATAAGAATTATTATTTATATTATTTGTGACAGATATTAAATATTTCTCAGATAAATAATAAAACCTTTTTTATTCTGATTATCGTTCGTTGATAAAGATTAGATATCGCGGCGAGAAGATTCGTAGAGACATCTCGTTATATGTTTTATATAACATAATAAAATTCTTAAAAAATATTCCATTTTATGATATTAATATTCTTATTAATAAATATTTTACATTGCATTTTAAAATTATAAATAAATGGAGTTAGGAATTAAAAGTTGATTAACATTATTTTGCATTGTATTTAGGTTTATATGCCAACTGATGATAAGTATTGCCTTACCTTGTGAATTACATTATATTTTTATTAGTATATGATAAATATTTTTTATCATATACTAATAAAATTATAGTAAATAATTTATAGTGTATTTGCATGTTTTAAAAATATCGATAAAAATTAATCATTGTAAATAAGCAAAAATATACATACGATGCATTTCATCAGTATTTGATTCTCTTCGATTGCCTCCACCACTTAATATCTTTATTCTACACCAAGCTACAATGATAAAAGATTGAACATTTAATATAGAAATATTTTTTGTTTTTTTTCTATTTTTACCACATTTATTCTTATTATATATTTTAAATGGTATTTCCTTACCGTTTCTAAAAAGTTTCCTTATAGGCTTTTCTTCTTTTCTACAGCTTTGGTAATTATCTTTTTTTACTGAATTAACATCTTCTTCCATGGTATAAAAAATCTTTAAAAGACGAAAAACAATGTATATATTTTTCATATTAATAAAATGATAACAAAATTGTTATAGATGAGCATTGATATGTGACATAAACGTATTATATTAATATTTGCTACAAATAAAAGTAAAATTTATATAATCTATATAATCATAATAATTTTAAAAATAATATAAATATACTAATTAATTAAACACATTCATACACAAATTACAGATTTTATTAGAAAAGTAAAAATAATGCATTATTGATTATTACTATATGTATATTTTCTCGTTGTTCTATATTTTATCACTCTATGTGTAATCTATACATTATAATCAAGAAAATATTTTTAGCACAAGGTTTACATTGATCTCATGGACGTCGCAATACTTGTTTTATTGTCGATATATATGGTATGTTGCAGCATATATATGGTATGTTGCATTAATAAATGCAAGAAAATATTATATAAATTTGATAAAATCAAGACTCATTTCTCTTTTATAACTTTTAATGATATACTAACCTGTAGATTATTTTTAATAAACAAACATTTAATATTAATTATATTAATTATTAAAATAAAAAATAATATTAATTTATTAATTACATATATTTCATTGTAAATTACCTATCAAATATTTGCGATTACACAAATTCTAAATATTTTTATATTTTTTATTACCGATGAATTTAATGTTATAGAAAATTGCTCATATTATTAGCAGAATTGAATCGTTTAACATTACCGATACTTTTGCAATGTTCTAATTTCTAATTCACGATAAAAAACAGAATAATATCAAAGTAGGAAATATATTTAAAAAATGTATGTTGACTAAGAAATGTTCAAAAATAGCAAAGAGATAATAAAATATTATTGTCACATAATAACAGTAATAGATATGTTAAAAATAATCTTTCCAAATATTTTCTAGCTGTCTCTTAGTGTATTTTACATATTAATATACTTAAATATCTAATTTTGACAAACTACTGACAATGTATGTGTGTGTGGAGAGTTTAATGATATATATTGGTGTGTAATGTGTAACGTATACTGTTTTATGTCCTGTGTTTGATCAGAGAAAAATTTTACGTTTTTTTGATCAGATTAAATTGTGAAATAATTATGTATTAGAAAAATAATACACATCTACACACGTAAAAAAATATTAATTAACTACAATCAAACGTAATAGAACTAGCTTCAATAAATGCTATATATTAGATGGAATGTTTTATGTCAAATAGTTCTAAACATTTTACAAAAATATGCACTTTACTTTAATGTTTAATTTATTTAGATTTCTCATTCATTCAAAAACATATAAAAATTTTATAATTAAAAATACCTTTTTATTGTATCTTCAACACTAATCTTGTATTTAATTTTTCTTTGATAATACTTTTCCTCGATAAGTGCTGCTTTCGAACTTATATCTCACGTATAAACGTATAATTTTTATTCACAGATTATATTAACAAAGAGTTATTATTGCTTTCATACACCATTTGCACCATGAATCGTAGAAAATATTACATTTACATACTCCACAAAGTCTCTCTAATTTAAACACACACTACACTAATATTGTTTAAACTAATAATAATATTGTTTAAAACACACAAATCCGGATTTAGCAATTAAAAATTTCTATTTTTGATAGAGACTTCACATTTTCACGTAACAAAAGTCATGGGATCGCGAAGATCATTCGATCGAATGGCAGCGTGACACTACACGCGAATCAATATCGCCTCTCGCGAAACGCGCATATTGCATCAGTTAAACTACAATAACTTCTCTTGGTGCTGTAGGTGGTTGTAGGATAAGCTATTCGCGAATCACTTTAAAACGACTGGCCAAGTAACCGACAGAAGAGCGATCTTTGGCCAGAAGCCAGATCCTCCTACGCAAATTTGGTTTTTTCTTGTCGCAAGAGGTCAGAGCACTATTCTCTCTTACGTCTTTCTTTTCATCGATTTCAATGACTCTGGATCAAATCACGTAAATAATATGTATTTCTACGTTTTTCTGCAATATTCAAATAACGAATAAGATATCTAATATCTCAGAGATAGCAATACAAAATTGTTTTCTAAATATGTGATCATTGCCATTGCGTGCTGCCAAATAAATTTTCACCTTGGTGAATCTTACTGTTATTTGCATTATTTCAAAATATAAACTTAACCATACAGCTATAAAATATTTAATGTCGATTATATATGATGCACGTATAATCATAAATCACGTTCTCGATTTTAAGACTTACATATGTGATAGATGAAAATAATATTGTGTACATATATGCAACATATTGTACATATATACATTTTATTATATACATTAATGCACATAAACGTGATACTAATCAAACAACACGTTTAATAAAAATACGCATAAAATGATATACAGAGATATACACACTACATCAAAAGATCAAGATGGAGCTAGAAATGTCACTCAGAGAATTCAACAAGTGCTCCGTCATAATAATAAATCCGTCATAATAAATCTCTTCAGCAGACACTCTTGCAAATACTATCAGTACTGTCATCTGAAATGATGTAGCAAAGGCGTGAGAACACAGAATGTGTCGGATATTCGGTCTCACTTCAAAGATAACCTTTTGCTAGACAACTGCTTTTGTTAACTGTAGTTGCTCTGTGCTCTCTGCCGTTTTACGCGAGAGGGGCGACAATTTCCAGATAGTAACTGTCGTCGGTGCAATCATCAGTCAGCCTACAAGGAAAGCATTTAATATCCTTTAGCGACTTTGTGCCGCCTCTGAACACTGTGCGACTACGCAAGAAAGTTCACTTGGACTGTTCACAAGTGGACAGTTAGCCCGGTATATCTACCGGTGGTCGTACCAGCACGTACTAAGAAATTTATACAGCCGCTTCAATCGCGATAATTGCTCAGCCACTTCGAGTATGTACGTTCATTTACTGCATTAATTGGATCAGTAGCCGATGCCATCGCGTCTCTTAAATGCATAGCATAATCGATCAGCTCTTCTTTCACAGTTTTTGCCGATCATCTTTGAGACAAGCATCGCTATAACAAAATTTTGGAATTAAATGCTAAATAACTTAGCACTTAGCTCAAAAAAATATAAAAAGAGAGAGAAAAAAGAGAGAGAGAGAGAGAAAGAAAGAAATAAAAAAATAGAATAAAATTTAGACTATGTTTATTCTTATGTTTATAATATTTTCTATTCTTTTTTTCTCTTTTGTTCTTCTTCTATTTCCTTCTATTCTTATTTTGTTTTTATTTTATTTTATTTTCTTTTTCTTTTGGAAAACTAATTGAGTAAATCAATATCGCTTTTTGCAAAACGCACATATTGCATCAATCAAACTACATATTTTATAAGATCTGTCTCAAACCTTTTAAACTTTGTACAGCAAACAATGCCTATAAACGCTTTATTTTGTCTTTCACATGTCTGTATAATATATATTTCAAAAAAAGATTTTTCAAAGTAAAATTTTGTCTGATTTTTTTTATCTTTTAAGAATAGAAAAGCTGAAAAAGATTGTTTTAAACTTTGAGTTTAAAATAAATCCTTTTTATAAAATAAAACTGAAATGTAATAACTATTTGTGGTGCCGTAGGAAGTTGTAAGATTTGGAGTTACTGTGAAAAGAAAAGAACAAAAGCAGATTCATAGCTGACAGATAGATTTCAATAGGCCAATACTAACTGAAAAGCAAAACTAATGTTATTGTCTCTATTGAATAGTAAAAATAATGTCCTTATTGTTCTGATTGAAAAGCAAAAATAATGTTATTGATTTATAGATTTCTTTCAGAAAATAATAGTATAGTTATTTTTTATCTTTTATTTTGTAAAAGATTTGTTCTAGATCCGAAGTCTAGAACAATCTTTTTCGTAGCTTTTCTATTTCTAGAAGATGAAAAATCAGACTAAATTTCGCTTCGGAAAACCTTTTTTTGAAATATATATTATATAGACATGTGTGTGTGCGAAGGACAAAATAAGGCGTTTTAGGCGTGTTTGCTGCACAAGGTTTAAAATGTTTGAGACAGATTGTATAAGATTTATGTGCGTAATTCAGGTATAAAAGCATATGGATACATATACATATATTATTAGAGTATACAATATAGCTTTATAGCATGTGCATAACAATGATCGTTTAATTTGCGTCAAGGCATGACGCACTATAGAATTACAATGAGAACTATATAATCCATATAATACAAAAATCTATTTAATTAATATTTATTTATAAATATGGCTATATATATATTATGTTAAAGCTATTATTCAACATCTTATGAATTCTATTATTACTTACCATACTAAGGCTGCATTCGGAGAGACGCTATTAACGCTATAAACGCAAACGCTACTAACTTTGTTCGGGGAGCCAATAGCGCGATAGCGATAGTAAGCTCCTCAAACGCAGCCGAGTAAAATTCGCAACATGGCCGACGTTGGTGCAAATATAAACGATAAAGCAATAAATGTTATGTTGTTATGTTATGTTTGTTGTTATGTTATGTTGGGTTATGCCTGCGCAATCAAGTGTTCGAGCATGTTCGAGGAGAGAATAAGCGCCAATCAGTGCTAATAGCATCTCGTGCCTCACCTCGAAAATAATAGCGAGAAATAGCTCGAATGATGACGTCACGCTGCTTTTAGAGTGACGTCATCATCGATTTCATAGCGCCAGAAAGCGTCTCCTCGAACGGTCTCCGACGATAATTGCGCCAATAGCGTGCTCCCCGAATGCAGCCCAAAAGAGATAAAATGGCTAATTAAATCTAACAATATTAACTTCTCATGTGATAAAAAGAGAGAGAAAAAAAGAGAGAGAGAGAGAGAAAGAAAGAAATAAAAAAATAGAATAAAATTTAGACTATGTTTATTCTTATGTTTATAATATTTTCTATTCTTTTTTTCTCTTTTGTTCTTCTTCTATTTCCTTCTATTCTTATTTTGTTTTTATTTTATTTTATTTTCTTTTTCTTTTGGAAAACTAATTGAGTAAATCAATATCGCTTTTTGCAAAACGCACATATTGCATCAATCAAACTACATATTTTATAAGATCTGTCTCAAACCTTTTAAACTTTGTACAGCAAACAATGCCTATAAACGCTTTATTTTGTCTTTCACATGTCTGTATAATATATATTTCAAAAAAAGATTTTTCAAAGTAAAATTTTGTCTGATTTTTTTTATCTTTTAAGAATAGAAAAGCTGAAAAAGATTGTTTTAAACTTTGAGTTTAAAATAAATCCTTTTTATAAAATAAAACTGAAATGTAATAACTATTTGTGGTGCCGTAGGAAGTTGTAAGATTTGGAGTTACTGTGAAAAGAAAAGAACAAAAGCAGATTCATAGCTGACAGATAGATTTCAATAGGCCAATACTAACTGAAAAGCAAAACTGATGTTATTGTCTCTATTGAATAGTAAAAATAATGTCCTTATTGTTCTGATTGAAAAGCAAAAATAATGTTATTGATTTATAGATTTCTTTCAGAAAATAATAGTATAGTTATTTTTTATCTTTTATTTTGTAAAAGATTTGTTCTAGATCCGAAGTCTAGAACAATCTTTTTCGTAGCTTTTCTATTTCTAGAAGATGAAAAATCAGACTAAATTTCGCTTCGGAAAACCTTTTTTTGAAATATATATTATATAGACATGTGTGTGTGCGAAGGACAAAATAAGGCGTTTTAGGCGTGTTTGCTGCACAAGGTTTAAAATGTTTGAGACAGATTGTATAAGATTTATGTGCGTAATTCAGGTATAAAAGCATATGGATACATATACATATATTATTAGAGTATACAATATAGCTTTATAGCATGTGCATAACAATGATCGTTTAATTTGCGTCAAGGCATGACGCACTATAGAATTACAATGAGAACTATATAATCCATATAATACAAAAATCTATTTAATTAATATTTATTTATAAATATGGCTATATATATATTATGTTAAAGCTATTATTCAACATCTTATGAATTCTATTATTACTTACCATACTAAGGCTGCATTCGGAGAGACGCTATTAACGCTATAAACGCAAACGCTACTAACTTTGTTCGGGGAGCCAATAGCGCGATAGCGATAGTAAGCTCCTCAAACGCAGCCGAGTAAAATGAGTAAAATGGCCGACGTTGGTGCAAATATAAACGATAAAGCAATAAATGTTATGTTGTTATGTTATGTTTGTTGTTATGTTATGTTGGGTTATGCCTGCGCAATCAAGTGTTCGAGCATGTTCGAGGAGAGAATAAGCGCCAATCAGTGCTAATAGCATCTCGTGCCTCACCTCGAAAATAATAGCGAGAAATAGCTCGAATGATGACGTCACGCTGCTTTTAGAGTGACGTCATCATCGATTTCATAGCGCCAGAAAGCGTCTCCTCGAACGGTCTCCGACGATAATTGCGCCAATAGCGTGCTCCCCGAATGCAGCCCAAAAGAGATAAAATGGCTAATTAAATCTAACAATATTAACTTCTCATGTGAATTCTTTTTGATTTTCAAGTTATTATCATGCACAGAGGAGAATAAAAAATATGGATAAAAAGAGCTTTCATGTACCTGCTTACTATCAACGAGATGACTCGCCATAATATACTAACATAAATCCATAGAGACATGCATTTCACGGTCTCGTGTCTCAACCACAATTTCGCGCCATTCAAGCAAATTTGTTTTTCTTTTAAAGTATCGCGTGCATTTGTAGTCTGCAAAAATTGTCTCAGTTTATCAATTTGTATGAAATGTATACACGCGTTTAATAATGAAGGTAGACTTGACCTCGATTATCAAGCCAATTGTGGAAATCAAATTGCGATGCAAATTATCGATCGACAATGGTGCAATCTATATTCACAATATATTATTTACGTAATTATTTTGTATCCTACGTTTCGACCTGTCTAACAATAAGTATTGACATCCTTTTCTATATTCAAGCAAAAAAGGGTAAATTGTTAATTGTTTTGGGGGGCATGCAACTTAACAATTATTACGACAACAATTCTATCGATATGTGCTACACAAATAATTTTGGAAAAAAATGATTAGGATCTTAAACCGTAAAGACTATAGCTTTCACTCGACTAATAAACTAACTTTAGAACCGTAAGTCATATATCAAAATAACACATGCATCTGATAGTAATTAATCAATTATATAAAAATATTTAATGACGATGAAAGAATATTATACTAACTGCTCAAATTGTTTTATAAAAGCTATTGTTGTTTTTGAATATAACTATGTAGTGTTGAGAAAGAATACACAAACGAAAAAGGGGTAAAAGAAGCGCTCAAATGCCGAGTCCCGGAAGAAGGAAACTTGATGCGCGCACAACTGTAATTCAAGTGCAAAGAGAGAAAAGAAGAGGGTTGTCGTCGCAAAGAGAAGGAGGACCGCGAATCCGCGCAATAAATTAATGCCGGCTCTTTAGTTAAATTAATTACGCCAATGGTAATTACACTTAAAGCGCATCGGTGTATCTTGCGCTAAACGGTGCCACCGCTTTTTATATACGAGCCTCTCCCTTTGCGTCTCTCGTCTCATTCATCATTTTCTTTTTCTTTTCTTC